ATTTGAAAAATAATGTGTTTTTTGAACATTAAAGCATGTCAACATATTCTGTTACACCAAATACACAAAATAATGATCTTTTAAAAAGCATCATATGACCCCTTTAATGTATAAGAGAACATGTATATTTTAGGTCCTTGTCTTAACTAATTGGTCCTGAAGAGCATGTCACACTGATGTCAATTATAATACTTACAATAAATATAATACTTATTTTTCAAAGTCCAGTTAGATGCCAGGTTAATCAATATCACAGAATTACAAATTACATAAAATTGCATAAAAAGACAATTGTACAATCATGGCTAAATAAGATTTAATTTTCAGTATTTTCTTGTATATTTTGAATGAAACATTCTCATCACCCATTTGTTTTTTTTCCCACCTGCTATGTGTCTTCCATTTTGTTTGTGTTTTTACTCTTATGCAATATATTGTTTTTGCTTGCAAGGTGTCGATCATCTGTACCCCTTTACCATCACCCACATGTTGCTATTATTATCAAATTTTGTATAACCAAGCAGAATGAATGTCAAACCGCACAAAAACCGAATGCTGCTGTTGCCAGTCATCTTAATTGGTGTGTGTGAGAGAGAGGCAGGAAGGATCGGATGTGCTGCCACAGTAGGCGGATAATAATGAGGTGTGTGTTTGTCCGAGGAAAGAGTGTGAAGGGTCAGCAGGCTATTGTTTGCTTTGGTATTCTGCGGTAATGATACTGCAAGGCAAGCGCAACCACTCTGTTTTTATATACCAGTTCATTATTTGATCAATTATTGGGCTTGCCGTTAGGGTCTCAACTATTTGTTTAACATTTGCGTACTTGAGCAGTGTGATCAATTAATTTAGATTATGTTTATTTTTAATAACAGTGCAAGTTATTGGATTCATTGGCACTCATAACCATTACTTATAATAATAATAAATATGATGAGCATAAAAGATTTATTAGTTGGCTAGAGGCCGAAGAGTCCCCAGTTAAAGCAAGAAAATGAATTCACTGCTCTGAAGAACAAGGAACAGGACACAAAGAGAAGGATGAAAGAGAACTAAAAGTAGACATTACATTTTTGCTAAACACAGTATTTCCATATAGAAAAAAAAATGCAAACTCACAATGCAAATGTTAAAAATAAACATGTGCTATTAAAAATGTGAATAATTAAATTTTGTTGCAGTCTTTGTCTTGTTCCTTGGCTGATGTTTTCTATGTTGGACTACTAAGACTGTAATACTAAGACTGATGGAATGAGAAAACCATGAGAGCAACATATATTGTTCACTGTGTGACCTGGACAGGCACACTAAGGACACATACACTGACGGGTCAGTATTTCATCATAAGGTACATAAAGATCAAATGCACTTGATTTTTTTTTCTGTTGTGCTGGAAAATACCAGAAATATACAAGCACAATAGAAAATATTGTGAAGTTGAATGAACCTATGTACACAACCTTTTAAATGTTTGGTGTTGGTAAGTTTTGTTTTTGATGCTCACCAATCAAAAATAAATTAAAACAGTGATATTGTGAAATATTATTGAAATTTAAAATAACTGTTTTCTATGTTAATGTTTTAAAATATAATTTGTGATGGCAAAGCTGAATTTTTAGTAGTATTACTCCAGTCGAGTCACATGATCCTTCAGAAATCATTCTAATATGCGGATTTGCTGCTCCAGAAACATTTCTATTATCACTGTTGAAAACAGTTGTGCTGCTTAAAAATTTGTGGAAAAGTTTTTGATGAACAGAAAGCTCAAAGAACATCATTTATTTGAACTAGATTTTTTGTAACGTTGTAAAATACTGTCACTTTTGAGCAATTTAATGTATCCTGGCTGAATAAATGTATTAAGGGTGGACAATGGTAGTAACAGGTGATGCCAGATTAATAGATGTGTACAGCCTTATGTAACCTTAAAGATTTTAGAATCTCTATCATTTTATTTATGCAGTTCACATTGTGCAACTCTGACCAGAAATGTTTCGGAGGAAGTACAGCAAAAATACATGGTCAGCTGTTGCCAGCCAGATAAACTTCTACTGCTAACTTTGCTGACACCGTCACATACTTGAGTGTCTTCTTTGTGAAATGCAGGGAGATCAGCCACAGCCGCCCCCGCCTCACTTCAGTACATGGGAGAGAGAGTGAAGGGATGCGGAGGAGCTATTGTTGTGTCCTCTACAGGGGACTGGGCCGCCAGCTTCACCACACCACGCATGGCTTGGGCCTCCATTAAAGAGGACGTCCTGCACTACGGGTTAAATCCCAAAGAAGATTTTACAGAGGTGCTGAAATGATAATGTAGGGATTTCTATCATGAACGGACACTGATATGCCCCCGCGATCTTCAAAGAACTTAAAGTCTTGCAAACTCAGACTTTTAGCAGGACTGCTCAAGCCTCTGTGTCATCAAGAAAGCAACCAATCCAACAAGGGATCTCCCAAAAGGGACGTCACCTCAGTAACCAATCAGCAAAGGAATTTCCCTCCAGCAGCCATCCAGGAAGCCTGCGTCAGCAACGAGGAAATCAACTCCGCTTCTCAGATTTCAGCAAAACGCAAGTACAAACAAATCTTACAGCTGCTGAAATGGGTGCTGAACTGGTGAATTGAGTTAAGCAGTAAAGATAAGAAAATATCTGCTTTGTGAATTCTCTCAGGCTGAATTTAAAACCACTCGTGGAAACGGGTGTTAGAACCAAGAAAACTTCATGCAACTCCGTTAACTCATTCCTTCATTCTTCTGAGCTGTATATGTGTGTGCATGCGTGTTTTAGCTTAGTTTTAATGTAATCTAGAATAGCCAATAAATTCGTTTTCATTTATAAAGAATCATTGTCTGGCATCGTGAAATTTTAAAGTCAAAAACATTGCCAAGATTACGTTACCTAGCTCGTAGCTTACTTATCAAAGAACGTATTACCCATGGCCAGGGAAATACAAATATTCAAGTTGTTAAAATATACTGAGATCACCGGCTCGCTGGACGACCGTTGATTTAAAGTGTAAACTATCAGATTTGAATTCAGTTTTAATCAGGTGGACCTCAAATTGGAATTCAGCTTTAATCAGGTGGACCTCGAATTTTCAGATTCGAGACCTTTCAAAACCTGAGCTAGAAATAAAATTAATGATTAATTCCCTTATAGAATTAATGAGTTAAATTCCTTACAGTACTTACAATAACATTACATTTTAACTGTATTTTAATTTGTTATTTTGAATTTCTTGAGGCTTTCAGCTAGTTCATTCATTCATTTTGCTAGATTCTATCAGTTTGTCCTATGTGATTAATTGTAGCCTTTATACAAACCTAAAAGTTATTTTAACATAAGTAGTAATGAGCTGTTTCTCGTACCAAGAAATACTCCTTTCTGCATGTTCTGATCATTTTTACCAAACAATTAATGAATAAAGATTAATTGATTCAAAAAATGTTGTAAAGCAGATGAAAACATTTTTACATTTTAGTGACATTTAGCTAGTGTACATACAGTACATAACATTTATGTAGGTTGTCATGTTTCCTCACTGAACAAACAATAGAAACAATATGGTTTCAAGTGATTAAATGTGACCCTGGAGCACAAAACCAGTCATAAGTCGCTGGGGTATATTTGTAGCAATAGCCAAAAATACATTGTATGGGTCAAAATTATTGATTTTTCTTTTATGCCAAAATCATTAGGACATTAAGTAAAGATCATGTTCCATGAAGATATTTTGTAAATTTCCTACTGTAAATATATTAAAACTTAATTTTTGATTAGTAATATCCATTGCTAAGAACTTCATTTGGACAACTTTAAAGGCGATTTTCTCAATATTTAGATTTTTTTGCACCCTCAGATTCCAGATTTTCATATAGTTGTATCTCGGCCAAATATTGTCCTATCCTAACAAACCATACATCAATGGAAAGCTTATTTATTCAGATTTCAGAGTATAAATCTCAATTTCTGAAAATCTACCCTTATGACTGGTTTTGTGGTCCAGGGTCACAAATGAAGAATTCTCAGAGGTCTGATAAGCTTAAACCACAATTAATGAATAATGATAAGAGTTAACTAATTAGCATTAGTATCATTAATATGAAATTTACAAATGACGTCTCAATACATCATAAACTGTCTTCAGTATAGGAAGACAGATGGAAAATATAACAGAAATATACTGTATGATGGCAAAAATCAACACATTAAATTAACCAAATACAGCTATTTTCACTACATTTGTGGAACTCAACTTAAAATTAATCTTACCCCTTCATGTCTTCAGTCGCTTCATTTCAGGTTTTTATGTGAAGGCTAATTGGTGGATCTAGAGGATAAAATTATTATATTTATGTTTCTTCAAAAAAAGATCACAACGTTCCTGCTGATTTGTGAAAAATATCCTCAAATTTTTGTTTGCTTCTCTTTTGTTTGTGAATAGAGCAGTGATGATATTATAAAATGTAAATGAAGGAACGCTGTTAAAATATTTCAGCCACGGGAATTGATGGATGAGTAATTATGTTCTGAAAGTTTAATTCTTTATTAGGAAAATAAAAGTTTTTGCAACTGCTCCTAGTTAGTGTCTCCTTAGTTGCCCTCCTCTCATTTATTTATTTCATTTGGTTTCAAATTAAGGACAGGCTGTGTACTGTATATATGAAGACAAATATGCTGTACAGAGTAAGTTCACACACTTTTAACAAATAAAAGTTGTCAAAAGCTTCTAAGATTTGTGTGTCCTTGTAATATTTCTTCTGCATTATAAAACAGTAAAACCCATTGTAGTTGAAACCATGCAGCAGAGCAAAGACGTGGAGAAAACAGTTTTCTGCCTCTCCAAAAAGGCAAAAAAAAAAAAAAAATTCTCTCCACTTTTTATTGCAGAGGGAGCTGATTATTCCATAGTGATTCCTGAACCCCTACTGAGCACAGCACCTCTACAGCAATTAACATTTTGACATTTTTGATCAATCACCCAGACTACAAAAGAAAAAAAAAAAATAATTAAGTAAAGATTATTAGCCTGGATGCATTCAGTGTATTTGATCAGCGCAGTGCCGTAAGATCAAAGTATGGAGAGCCGACATTACAACATCCTACCCAGAACCATGAAACAAGTGTGCTTCCTCAACTGAAAAAGATAAACATTATGCAGAGAGCAACCCCTCTGAGCTTTAAATGAACAATTCTGACTCAAGTGGAGCTCAAGTAGGTCAGTATTTGGGATTCCTTGTTAAAACTTAACAAGTCAACATTTTGCTGAGACATTCCAAGCTGCTCTGTTACCTTGAGACTTGATTAAGCTTTATGTAAGCATAAGATATTATCTTTTTTACATTTAATTATTATTTTTAATAAAATGTTGAATATGTTTATGGCATAAAACACCACTAAAAATATTGTCCTTTCTATAAACACCACAGGCTTCTGTAGAATCTAGAATTTCCTCTATTGCAAATGAGCAAAAAAAGAAAAGTAATCTTTGACTACTGTTAGTGAATGCTGTTAAACATTTACATTTAGTCAGTTTATACATAACATTTATACTGGTTGTCCCCTACTGTTTCAACAGAATCCTCAGTGAACAAATATAAACACAATTGGTGTTAAATTACTAAATTAAACACACAGAATTTACCACCTGTGGTTGGGGAAAATTAGATGCTAGTGTTTCCGTGTCACATAATCAGCGTCCTACTGAGTGTTTTCCGCCTCATTTCAATTTACCTGTTCAAGTGTACAGTACGTTAATTGCAAACATCTGGGACTGACAGCATCACACTTACCTTGTGTTTATGCTTCACTGGGATCATGTTGCTCCTTATTGTGTAAATGTATCATTGTTTTTTGAAAGTGTTATTTTTTCTGTTAGCTTCTAATTTGTTTCATGACAAGTTTTCACGTCTTGACCGAGGCGGTCAGATGAGATTGTTTTTAAACGCAGGAGGATATTCCTTTATCTGTGCTGCTCCCTAGTGGCATTACGTGGTATTGCAATGAATGTATTAAATTAGGTGGAGTGTGGGGCAAGTTATAATTAGTTGATCTGGAATATGGCCTGGTATCCAAAACCATCTAAGGTTTTTTTGTTTGTTTTGTTACATAGTGACATTGACTTTGTTAAAGCAACTGCATGTGTGTTGTTGTTTTTTTTCTCTTGAAAAATTATTTCAGACTTCTAATACAGCAAAATTGATTTTGTTTTGTTTTTTTCCCACGCTCCCCACAAACATCTGTTCTGGGAGTGTAAGTGAGCGGGTACAAAAACAAATCCAAACGACAGCAACAAATGCACGTGTACTAGTCATTGAATTCCACTCACTTAAGAGTCTCCAAACAAAGTCGAAAAAATACACAAGGCTATACATACAGCTGCTTTTTTCCTTAGTACAAAAAGATCAGCTTTTCTTGCTTCCATTAATTATAGGTATGTTTTGAACTGGTGAGAAGATATGGGGTTTAAACTGATATTTTTCACTATTACTTCATCAAACTGACTGTGTAGCATTTGCACAGGCCATGCACATCACCACAACAAACATAGTCAGTCAAAAGCTGTAATATTGTTTATTAAATATTGCATAATGAGGAAATCACAGCAGTAACTAGTGTTTTAAATTCATTGTAATTGTAACAGCACTGCAAATAAACAAAAACAAACAAAAAATGCAAAATTCGCCTCTGCATACAGACCACAAAGTAATAATTATACATAAAACATCTCAGGTGTCATCTCACACTCTTGAATAACTCATGTGATTGCAGCAATTAACTTGGTAATTGTTTCCTGTGACACACTAAAACTTACTTTGAAAAGTCCTTAAAAAGTAACGTGTTTACCTCAAGGCAATAATAATAATAATAAAACAAAATAAAATAAAACTAGGCACAGTTCAATGAAGCCATGAGACAGAAAGGCATTTCAATCCCAACAGTGTCAGAATCACTCCTTCAATCATATGAGACAGCCTGTGTTAAGCAAATCTCTGTGCTTTCCTAATATTCTTCATTTAATATAAACTGTAATATTCATAGAGGCTGCTGCAACTTCAGTCACTTTCATTCATTTTACTTTACATATTTATAACTCTGACAGAACAGGAAAACTGTGAATTTTAACTGTGTTCACATCCAAGTTAAAAGTTTCTCAGAGCACTACATTCAGATATGCTACGCTATCTTATAACGGGCTTGAAACACGTTTTCAAGTTCATATTCAATAGAGATCACATATACGTATTTTAATTTCTTGTTGATCTTCTATGTGATTACTTATTGACAAAGGTTTTAGCAACAACGACTGGTTTAAAAAAATGAAAAATATATTATCTAGATACTTTAAATGACTTATTTCTGTCCAAGTGATCTTTTCCTAATTCTCGTTTTGAATTGGACAGAAGGCTGGTAAGCGTAAGAGTCTCAGGCGACCCTCATGCTCTCTAGCAGCACGTTCTCTGGCATTAAATGGAATGGACCGTATATAACTAAAGGGGAGATTCAAAAAGACACAATTTCATCTTCAAATTTGCAATTCTACCTCTTAAAAAAGGAAGCAAAAGCAAATCTACAACCTGGAGTAGATGTGAACTACATTCAGTTAAGGAAGACCACAAGCTAATCAATGGAGACTACCTAACTAAATGAACACAACAGTCCTCATGTAGCATCCTCTACTGTGAATGGCACTTTGAAAATGAGGTACGGCAATCTTATATGGATCATCGATTCCCAACATGCAACCATATTACCAGTCATAACACTATGTAAATGTCACTGTCAAATGGTACCTGGTTAAGATGTTATCAAGGCTTGTTAACAGAGGTAAATACTGCGCCTCAGACTCGTAATACACTCTTCAGAACAACCAATTCAAAAATGGATGACTGAAAGAGCAAAATATGCATTACTCAGGCAAATAAATATTTGTTGTATGTTTTGAGGCAAAGCATCTAAATATGTTCAGATCTGTTTAGTGCGGTTTAGTTGTAGACCTTCACCTCACAACTTTACATAGCGCTTAAAGCTTGATTCTTTTTTGTTACCAATTAAAAAGCTTGGTAGATCCGGAGTTTCTAGAGTTGGTCACTCCATCGTAATCTTTTGAACAGAAATTTGGTAATACTTTACAATAAGGTGTCATTTGTTAACAATAGTTGCTCACGGTTAGTTCATGTTAACTAATGCATTAAAATAAATAATAATAATAATTTGTCACATTTATATAGCGCTTTTCTCTAAACTCAAAACACACCTACTGTTTTCAAGGGACATCCTGGGACTTTTTATGACCACACATAGTCAGGACCTCGGTTTAACATCTCATCCAATTAACAAATGTTAACAAATCAGACCATACTGTAAAGTGTTACCATAATTTTCTATGTCAATCAAATCTGAGCATACAGTAAGTGCTGTGACATTTTCCTCCTTAACATGACCAACACTGATTTACATCATTTTGATGTCTACAAATGGCTTTGCTTGGATTTGCAAATACTAATGTTGTGTCATCCATTGAGCCCTCATCGGAATAGAGATTTACATCATACTCTTCATGAGAGTATGATAAAAAAAAGTTCCATAAATATGCATTTTTTTACACAATGGGAGTGTAAATTGAAATTGAAACACTTTTTTAAATGGCTAAACTTAACTTCTATGATCCTTTTACAGCTTCTCTGACCATTAACCCTTAATACAGACATCTTCAGGTGCTTTCAATACACTGTCATCTCTAATGGCAACACTCCAAGTCCATCAAACATTTATAGCAAAAATAAATGGTAGAATTTCATGTTTTTCAGTAATGTCAGGTATGTGATGAAGTTGTACTTCAGTACAATTCACAGCTGTAAACTTAATCACCTTTTCCAAGTCTGATATATTTTATATTAATGGCTTTTAGCTGAGTCTGAGCATTTTCAAAAAGCAAAAACAATGCATTCTTCTAAATCCTTCAACAAATGCTGCCACTGTAGTACAGTTGAACTGCATGTTCTTTGCTGACATGCCGCACACCTAACTGATCACATACCTGGACATTCATCTGGGAAAGACCAAATTTTGGAGGGGAGAAAAAGTCTTCATTTGACGTCAACAGGTAGAGTGTCCCAAACGGATCAAGCCGCTTAAGCATAGTTAGAATCTCTTCATACAAACCGTAATTTATTCAAATGTATCATGTCACAAATGAACAGCTTTCACATAATTTCCTGGGAAAGTGCCGAACTGTTTTGTCCTCTTGGATGTACCTGCACAGAGAAGCCAATACATAAGAGTCTGGTACAAAAAAAAGGAAAACATACAACTCCAGAACAACAGAGCTCTAAAATCTTGGTTAAAATGGATTGATTCAGTAGCACTGTAGTTTCGTATATATATATATGGATTTAGTATGGGAGAGATGACTTAATGGAGAATCAATACAATGATCAATGACACATACCCACAAACCAGCCATCATCACATTTCTCCATGACACTGACCAGGTCTCCTTCCTGCAGCTCCAACTCGTCCTCATTCTGAGGCATGTAATTGTACAGAGCCTGGAATCTACAACAGAACACAACACATCATTACACATAGAAAGAGAGGGTGCAGGAAACTACTGCACAAATCACACTATTGACCAAATGTAAAGGCTTGTTTAGCCTTTCAGTTTAGTTGAAAAAGAAATAGTTGATGGGCTTAAATAAAAAAATGCTGCACACAGTTTTTTCTGTCTGACACATATATATAATGTCACATGGCACACTTGGCAGAGCACCATGGTAAGTAGAGTTCACTGTGCCTGCAGTCAGACAGCTCATAAAAAGTTGACACTCCACAGTTACATGAAATACAGTTATGTGTACTGTATGAATGCTTAATAGATATCTACCTAAAACAAGGCTAAATAAATTTGTCGTCACTAGCACTTTTGTTATAAAAATAAATATAAAATATAATATAAAAATAAATGGTTTTTGAGCAGCAAATCAGCATATTAGAATGATTTCTGAATGATCGTGTGACACTGAAGACTGGAGTAATGATGCTAAAAATTCAGCTTTGCATCACAGGAATAAATTACATTTTAATAAATATTTAAACAGAAAACTGTTATTTTAAATTGTAATAATATTTCACAATATTACTGTTCATTACTGATTTTTGATCAAATAAATGCACCCTTGGTGAGAAAAACTATATTTCAATGCTTTTGCGTTCTCTCAAAAAAAACTTTTGCATTCTCTTGGGAAATTTTGAGTTCGCTTGCAAAACTTGTGATGGAAATAATATGAGGTCATAGGAAACTCTATATTTCAGTGCTTTTAGTGAGTGAAGGAAAAGTTTCTCAGGAGAACACAATAATTTTACAGGAGAACGCAAATGTTTTGCAAGAAAACGCACAGGTGTTGCAAGTAAACGCAAAAGCATTAAAGGGGTCACATAATGCGATTTCTATTTTTCCTTTCTCTTTGGAGCGTTACAAGCTCTTGGTGCATAAAGAATATCTGTAAAGTTGCAAAGACTAAAGTGTCAAATCCAAAGAGATATTCTTTATAAAAGTTAAGAGTCAGCCACGCCTACCTAAAAAAAATGGCTCATTCTAACACGCCCCCACATGTCTACGTCACAATGTGGGAAGATTTGCATAACGCCGCCCAAATGTTCACGCAAAG